GAATTTCCTCTCGCCCTTTGAGGAGATATGGCGGTGGGGGGAGGGGAGGGCGGGTGAGGAATTCAGGCAGGGAGACGCCGGGGAATTGAATGGGAAATAGATGTACGCAGACCTCGAGGAGACCCCTGTCCACAGGAACTGCACAAGGAACTCGTATCAGACCAGCTGAAGAAACACAGGAGCCTCTGGAAGCTGATCAAACGTGGCCCCTTATTGCCCTGAGGACCCCGGGCATGGTTATTAAAGGAGAGACTTCCACATGTGTATAGCTGCTCAACTCTCACTTTGGAGAGGAACTCCGGCCACGTTGCTCCACCTGGGACTGATGGATTGCTGTGACATGCTACTTCTGTGTGCAGCTAACCCCATGGGTAGGCATTTTCCCATTTGGTGTAACAATACAAATGGGAAATATTGTGGAGTTTTCACATTGCCGAAATGTCAGAGAAATTTGGGACATTTTAACATCCATTGATGGGGAGGTAAAACTAAGGTTGTACTTGGTGTGGTGAGCCTCAAATGCCTCCTGGGGGTTACAGAAGCTCCTTTACCTTGTCCCAAGCCAGTTCTTGAGCCAAAAAATTCTAACTCTATCTGTTACTCTAACCCTAGAGCTAACTCTGTCCCTAGAGCTAAGCCTAAGGGTAACCCTAACTATAACTCTAACCCTAGAGCTAACTCTGTCCCTAGAGCTAAGCCTAAGGGTAACCCTAACTATAACCCTAAACCTAGAGCTAACTTTGTCCCTAGAGCTAAGCCTAAGGGTAACCCTAACTATAATCCTAAACCTAGAGCTAACTTTGTCCCTAGAGCTAAGCCTAAGGATAACCCTAACTGCAACCCTAACCCTTGGGCTAACTCTCTAGAACCAAGCCTATGGATCACCTTAATGCTATCTTTTACTCTAGTCCTAGAGCTAACTCTGTCCCTAGAGCTAAGCCTAAGGATAACCCTAACCCTTGGGTTACCTGTTTTGCTAGAACTAAGCCTATGGATCACCTTAATGCTATCTCTAACTCTGTCCCTAGAGCTAAGCCTAAGGACAACCCTAACTATAACACTAACACTTGCGCTAACTCTTTCTCTAGAACCAAGCCTATGGATCACCTTAATGCTATCTCTAACTGTAGTCCTAGAGCTAACTGTCCCTAGAGCTAAGCCTAAGGATAACCCTAACTGTAACCCTAACCCAAGGGCTACTTCTGTCCCAAGAGCTAAGCCTTAGGATAACCCTAACGCTTGGGCTACCTGTTTCTCTAGAACTAAGCCTATGGATCACCCTAATGCTATCCCTAATTCTAGTCCTAGAGCTGGACCTAAGGATAACAGCAATGCTAACTGTAAACCTAACCCAAGGGCTACTTCTATCCCTGAAGCTAAGCCTTAGGATAACCCTAACCCTAGGGCTACTCCTATCCCTGAAGCTAAGCCTTAGGATAACCCTAACCCTAGGGCTACTCCTATCCCTGAAGCTAAGCCTTAGGATAACCCTAACCCTAGGGCTACTCCTATCCCTGAAGCTAAGCCTTAGGATAACCCTAGGTCTAACTCTGCCCTTAAGGAGAAACCGAACGAGAAACCTAACCTTATTCCCAACTGTAACTTTATGCCCAGTGCTAAGCCTTAGGAAAACCATAACGGTATTCCTATTTGTAATCCTAACCCCAGGGCTAACTTTATCCCTTGAGCTAAGCCTAAGGGTACCCCTTACAGTTTACCTAACTACAACCCTAACCCTAGGGCTAACCCTAACTTCTATCACTAAACCTAAGGAGAAACCTAACAGTGTACCTAAGGCTAACTCTACCTCTAACTCCAAGCCTATGGATAAATCTAACTGTAACTCTAACCATAGGGCTAACTCTATCCCCAGTGCTAGGCCTTAGGATTACCCCTTATAGTTTACCTAACTACAACCCTAAACCTAAGGCTACCACTAGCCCTAGGATTATGCCTAAGGATAACCCTAATGCTATCTTATGTTGTCATAAACAATTAGGTGACGTGACATAAGTTAGGAATTGGATGAACTTGAAAATGTATCACTAAATCTAAGCGCATCGTATAGGATACCCTATATGATTCCACCTATCCCTCTGTACCCTTATACAGGGAGGATGATAACCTTCCTCCTCCTAGGACACCCCATATAATTCCCCCATTCCTCTGTACCCTATACTGTGAGTATAATACCCCCCTCCTTATAGGATACGCTATACAATTCCCCATTCCTATACTGGGAGTATAATACGCCCCTCCTTATAGGATACCGTATACAATTCCCCCATTCCTCTGTACCCTATACTGGGAGTATAATACCCCCCTCCTTATAGGATACGCTATACAATTCCCCATTCCTATACTGGGAGTATAATACCCCCCTCCTTATTGGATACGCTATACAATTCCCTCCATTGTTCTATATCCCTATACAGGGAGGATAATATCCCCTTCTCATATGGCACCCTATATAACTTCCCCCTCCCTCTATATTGCTATATAGGGGGAATAATACCCTCATTCTTATAAGATACCCTATACAGCCCCTCCCCAATATTCTTATACAGGGAGGATAATACCCCCCTTTTCCCCCCCACATATGAAAACTGAAAAGAGCAGCAACCTGGATTTCTACTCCCGTGTGTGGTCGCTCCTGAGGATCTACCATGCTGCAGTGTGGAGGAGGGAGGGAAACACTTTGTGAGGGTTCCAGGTAGAAGTGGTGGCTGATCTTTTTTAGTGATTCTCACCCCCCGCCCCCCTTTTCTATTTCAGACACCTAACGCCGGACTTCCACACGTTATCCTTCTACCTCCCGGATGGGACCCGTGTGACAGAGAACCGCTCGCACCAGGTAAGGCGGAGTGTTACTCTAGTGGTCGGAGCCGCCTCTGATCGGTCTGCCATGTACGCTTCTTCAAGTAAAACTGATCTTCAGAGCTGATCATGTGATGCCGTTCCATGCACAAAATGAGTCGCAGCGTCTTCCATTGGTTGATCGATGCACACTGAATCCACTGGCTCTGATGGTACACCTCGACCTGGCCATTGGACCAGACAGACGGTGGGGCCCCCACACAGCACAAGTCGCTCATCTCTTTATGTATTTCCACATTTTCTAAATAGCAAGAGTGGGCCCGCTTCTGTCACAGGGGTGGGGTTTCTATTTTTCTGGCCACATTCATAGTGACGGAGGGAAGTAATGGTTCTGGTGACGGCTGGTGTGCACGTGACGCTGTTATAATGCCGTGTGGTTTTCTCTCATTACAGATGAGCTGTTATTATCAGGGAAGGCTGGCGGGACGCAGCGGGCCCTGGAGCAGCCTCAGCCTGTGCTCTGGACTCAGGTAAATACATCAAGTTATCAACCCGTATTATACTACCAATGTACCTGATGGTGAGTAACGGGGGACCACTTTGGCTCCGCCCACTCCATTCTCCAGCGCTAAACCTAACAGTATTCCTAATTGACGATCAGATTTATTGGATGATGTTGTGACTCCCCATACTGGTGTTCTTCTTGCAGGGGGATTTTGGCACTGGAGCAACAGTACAGCATGGAGCCAGTCTTAGGGGATCCGTCCTTTAAGCACATACTTCGGCCAGTCGGAGATCATCGGAACATTACGTGTGAGACACGGGACGCCGCCCGTACATCTACCAATCACAAGCCTGGGAGGACGCTGCTAAGTATGGGAGACCCCCAATCTGACCAAGAGGAACTGGCACTCCCGCACCTGGCAGGTGGAGCTCCAGATCAGGTGAGTGCAGGGAAGGCTGCTGGGTGGAGCTGGGAATCCTTGAGGTGCAGCATGATGGGCTTGGGATTGAGGTGTTGCCAGAATATCAGATAGGAGAGTTTTACCCACTGGGCCAGGGCCCGACAAAAGCCCTGTGGTGGGGTGCTGCAGTTATTTCCATTATAAGGTATCCCATTTAAAGGGAATGTATTATTAGCAATACAACATAAAGAGTGTACGGTAACCTGCAGCAGCCAATCAGAAGTGGTGTACTCTCCAAAGCGAAGTCCAGAGCCCACTTCCTGCACAGATTCGAACACTGAGCATGATTGAAGAGCTCACCCTCCATCTTTGTTTGTCTTCCAGGTGCAGAGGAGCTGGATCAGCGAGACAAAGTACGTGGAGCTGGTGATGGTGGCTGACAACAGCGAGGTAGGTGAGGTCTTGCCATTGGTTGGGTTCACATGGTGATGTTGGCCCATGCTGACCATTCCCTTACATCTTTGCAGTACGAGTTGTATCGCAGGGACCTGAATGCCCTTCACACCAGGATCCTGGAAATCGCCAACAGGATGGACGCTGTGAGTTACCAGAAATTATTTATTTAGGTCGGGTGCCAGGGGAACGTTTGTTTTATAGTTTCTTCGTTTGTATATAAAATGACCCATTTTTTATTCAATTTATTATGAATTTATTTTTTAAAACATTTTCTATTTTATTTATCCAATCTATTTTAAATAAGGATCCTGAATTTTTATAATTTCCCCATTTGTATATATTAACCCCTTCATGACTGAGGCCCTTTTTTCATTTTTTGCACCCATGTTATATTCCACATTTTAGGCCTGAAAATGACATAAAACCCCCCAACATTATATATTTTCTGAATGCCAAGACCCTATAGAATAAAATGGTGGTAGTTGAAAATTTTTATGTTGCGCAATATTAGCGCAACTCCTTATTAAACCCCAAAATTTAGTGACAAATTTAATTAAATGCCCCAAAACACAACAAATTACCCATTTTTTTAATGAAATATAAAAGATGAGGTTACAACGAGTAAAACGATACCCAACATGCCCAGTTTACAGATTGCGTGCGACCGTGAAACGGCGAAAAACTGCAGTACCCCAAAAAGTCAATAAAAGACGCTTTAAAAGCCCCCACAGGTCATCACTTTAAACCCGTTTTCTTCCCTTCTCCAGTTTTACAGGACGGTGAACATCAGGGTGATCCTGGTCGGGGTCGAGGTCTGGAACCAGAAGGACCAGATAACAGTCAGTTCGGACCCTGCGGAGACCCTGAACCATTTCCTGTCCTGGAGAGAGAAGGAGCTGCTCCGGCGGATCCATCATGACAATGCTCAGCTCTTAACGTGAGTGATCGCACACTACATATGTGTACGGCTTGTCCGGGCTATGGCTCAGGGTGTCGGACTTTAAGAGCGTGGCTTTGCCTCAAACCTTAATATTAGAGTATTTCATTTCTCTGCTAAGGGGAATCCAGAGCATTTTTAGGTCCAGAATTCGTTTTAAGTGTCATGGACGGGGGTCCAAATCCACAGAGAAAGCGACATTCATTGAGATACAGAAACGTACCTGAGGCTGTATGGAGACACAGGTGTCATGGAGGCGTTAAGGCCTCATTAAAGTCACTGGGTGACACATGATGCTCTCAGGTCACTGAAGACACAAAAGGCACTGAAGACACTGGAGCATGCAGGTCACTGGAGAGACAGGAGCACAGGGGTCCCTGGAGGCACAAAAGGGCAGGGGTCACTTGAGACACAGGAGCTCAGGGATCACTGGAAACACTGAAGACACAGGAGCGCACGGGTCACTGGAGAAACAGGAGTGCAGGAAACACTGGAGAGACAGGAGCACAGGGGTCACTGGAGAGACAGGAGCACAGGGGTCACTGGAGAGACAGGAGCACAGGGGTCACTGGAGAGACAGGAGCACAGGGGTCACTGGAGAGACAGGAGCACAGGGGTCACTGGAGAGACAGGAGCACAGGGGTCACTGGAGAGACAGGAGCACAGGGGTCACTGGAGAGACAGGAGCACAGGGGTCACTGGAGAGACAGGAGCACAGGGGTCACTGGAGAGACAGGAGCACAGGGGTCACTGGAGAGACAGGAGCACAGGGGTCACTGGAGAGACAGGAGCACAGGGGTCACTGGAGAGACAGGAGCGCAGGGGTCACTGGAGAGACAGGAGCGCAGGGGTCACTGGAGAGACAGGAGCGCAGGGGTCACTGGAGACATAGAAGCTCAGGGATCACTGTAACCACAGAAGGCACTGAAGACACAGGAGTACACGGGCCACTGGAGAAACAGGAGTCTAGGAAACACTAGAGGCACAGAAAAGCAGGGGTCACTGGAGAGAGAGGAGCGTGGGGGTTACTGGAGAGAGAGGAGCGCGGGGGTCACTGAAGAGACAGGAGCGCGGGGATCACTGGAGAGACGGGAGCGCGGGGGGCACTGGAGAGACGGGAGCGCGGGGGGCACTGGAGAGACGGGAGCGCGGGGGGCACTGGAGAGACGGGAGCGCGGGGGGCACTGGAGAGACGGGAGCGCGGGGGGCACTGGAGAGACGGGAGCGCGGGGGGCACTGGAGAGACGGGAGCGCGGGGGGCACTGGAGAGACGGGAGCGCGGGGGGCACTGGAGAGACGGGAGCGCGGGGGGCACTGGAGAGACGGGAGCGCGGGGGGCACTGGAGAGACGGGAGCGCGGGGGGCACTGGAGAGACGGGAGCGCGGGGGGCACTGGAGAGACGGGAGCGCGGGGGGCACTGGAGAGACGGGAGCGCGGGGGGCACTGGAGAGACGGGAGCGCGGGGGGCACTGGAGAGACGGGAGCGCGGGGGGCACTGGAGAGACGGGAGCGCGGGGGGCACTGGAGAGACGGGAGCGCGGGGGGCACTGGAGAGACGGGAGCGCGGGGGGCACTGGAGAGACGGGAGCGCGGGGGGCACTGGAGAGACGGGAGCGCGGGGGGCACTGGAGAGACGGGAGCGCGGGGGGCACTGGAGAGACGGGAGCGCGGGGGGCACTGGAGAGACGGGAGCGCGGGGGGCACTGGAGAGACGGGAGCGCGGGGGGCACTGGAGAGACGGGAGCGCGGGGGGCACTGGAGAGACGGGAGCGCGGGGGGCACTGGAGAGACGGGAGCGCGGGGGGCACTGGAGAGACGGGAGCGCGGGGGGCACTGGAGAGACGGGAGCGCGGGGGGCACTGGAGAGACGGGAGCGCGGGGGGCACTGGAGAGACGGGACTGAGGGAGTCACTGGAGGCACGAGGGCTCATCGATCTGTCTTAAGTGATCCTTTTGGGTCTTTATTTTTCAGGGGTGTGACATTTCAGGGCTCCGCAGTGGGAATGGCGACCGTGGACTCCATCTGTACAGCCGATTGCTCCGGCGGGGTCAGCATGGTAAGTGATGTTTCCCCTGAAGGGAATCATAGGCCTGTATGTCAGATCTCAGCACTGACAGCTCAGTCCTGAGAACAAGTTACCCCTTCCTACCAATGCCCCCCCCGACACTTAGGGCCGGTTTACACCACAAAGAGTGCGTTCCGGGGCGTTCCGGTAGGGGGTACGGTGGTGCATTGAAGTCAATAGAACCACAGCTTCGCCCCCCCCCCAGCAATGCGATCGCCCGCCCCCGGTGATCATGATGCTGAGCCCTCATGATTGAACAAGTGAAATCCAATTAATGAAAGAGGTGGGCCAGGGACAGTCGGGCTGGGGAGGAAAGGACTAGGTGATGCTGGATAATCCGCCAGCCAGGAGATAGGGCAAGCTCTATTAGACTTGCTGCAGCTTCTAATGCACATTGTGGGAGTTCAGAGGGATCTTTGTATGTTAGCTGCAGGCCAGGATTAATCTTCAGGATCAGAGAGCGGTCACTGTGCAGAGTGCAGCTCATAGCAGCCAAGCCACTTTCAGATTGCTGCATAGGGTTGCCACCTTTTCTTCAAGCGAAACCCGAACACACTAGCGACGCGTGGACATTTTTTGGAGAGAAAGAGTCCCGGCTTATTCATATGTAAATAGCGCCTCACACTCATATGTAAATATCACAGTTGAGCCTATTCTCAGTGGGGGGCCAGTAGCACCTATCTTCATTTTGGTTGCCCCTGTCTGCCCGACATCTTTTGTCCGGGTTTCTGCTGCCATGAAACCCAAACACAGCATTCAAAACCCGAACTGTCAGGGTGAATCCTGGACAGGTGGCAACCCTATTGCTGCAGTCAGATCAGTAAATTGTTCAATGTCATTGTTGGTCTTTGCGACAGGCAGATGTTCACTAATCCAAGTAAAATGTTTCTCCTGAGTTAGTCAGCGTCTAGATTGGGGGCCTACTCCTATTTATATCAGTTAAAAATAAACCGGAACAACATTCCACCTAGACGAGGCCCATAGGGACCCCCAGCAGGTCCTGCATAGGATAAGACACAAGGCTTTGGTTTTATGGCTTGGGCAGCAGCGCCACCTTGTGGCCGTCACATATTGCTGCAGCCTTGTGCAAGAAATGTGCAACATTGACTTCTTTAGTGATTTCAGGATTCTGAGAGCGCTCAGTCTTTCTGTGAGAGGCGATGGCAATAAAATATACTAGGAATGATTATTTGTCAAGGTACAAGGTCCCCAATTAAGCTTTATTATATACATGCAATCCACAACGTGGGACTTTAAAGGTACCAATAATTCAACAATACATTAAGAAGCAGCATATGTATTCATGTCATTAAAGCCGTATAATGGTGATGAATGATCTGTTCTTACTTGTTCGATGCCTGTTGTGCATTCATTGGTCTCTTTCTCCCCTGCGCAGGACCACTCGGTCAGTATCCTGGGTGTGGCCTCCACCGTGGCACATGAACTGGGGCACAATCTGGGTCTGAACCACAATGCAGTGGATGGCAAGTGCGGTCAGCCCAGTACGGGGAAATACTGGATCATGGAGCAGGGTACCAGGGCAGGGTGAGTGGTGATCCATAGTAGAGTTCCTACCATAGCAGGGGGAGTGGTGACCCATAGTAGAGTTCCTACCATTGCAGGGGGAGTGGTGATCCATAGTAGAGTTCCTACCATAGCAGGGGGAGTGGTAACCCATAGTAGAGTTCCTACCATTGCAGGGGGAGTGGTGACCCATAGTAGAGTTCCTACCATAGCAGGGGGAGTGGTGACCCATAGTAGAGTTCCCACCATAGCAGGGGGAGTGATGACCCATAGTAGAGTTCCCACCATAGCAGGGGGAGTGGTGACCCATAGTAGAGTTCCTACTATTGCAGGGGGGAGTGGTGACCCATAGTAGAGTTCCTACCATAGCAGGGTGAGTGGTGACCCATAGTAGAGTTCCTACCATTGCAGGGGGAGTGGTGACCCATAGTAGAGTTCCTACCATAGCAGGGGGAGTGGTGACCCATAGTAGAGTTCCTACCAT